AGCCGTCTGTAGCGTTGTAGGGCGATCCGTACGACTAGCGTACGTACGTTGTCGAGTCTGCTTCCAGACTGGGCCGGCCGCGGCTTTGCTTTCATCAAACGCCGCGGTCGGTCCCAGTAATCCACGACATTATACCGACACACAGTATACCCCTCGTCACAGGTGGCGCTGGAATAATCAGTGCAAAAAAACAAACAAGAAAAAAAACATAAAAAAAAACAAAAAAAAAAACACACACACACAACAAAAAATGCATAAAACATAAAAAGGTCGTGCCGGCCTCGAGAACGAGAAGAGCCAGAGCTTTCTTACTGCTCGCTCTGTCCCATTGCTCTCCATCGCTCCTTCTTGTGTACCCTCCGACCGCCAGTCTGGAGAACATATTGTTCGTCTTTATAGGAGTGTCATCTCGGTAGCTCAACCCTCGGTCTCTGCTCAGCCTCACGACGAGGCTGCTTGGATCCATGTTAGATCCGTTATTTCGAACCCCGAAGCCGCTACACCTCCTGTTTTCCTCTCTCTCGCGTTGCCGTTGCCGTTGTCGACGAACAATTGTTTTTGGCCAAGGAGGAGGAGGCGGATGACAAGACCGTTTACCGAGCATCGAGGTTCTTCAACCAAGATGAAGCGAAAGACCACTATGCACAATCTTGGAAGTCAAGCTCTATATCTACCAGCTATTCAGAGCTTTGGCATATATCCACTCGTAAGGCATACGAGTGTCACTGGCCGAAAGGAGGAGGAAGTGGATGACAAGACAACGACAACGACAACGACAACGACAACGACAATGACAATGACGACTCTTCCTCTGGTTCCGTAGACAGCCCGCGGGAGATGTCGAACGCCAAGTGCACCGTCAGCGATTACCAGAAGAGCAGAAGGGCGCCGTTAAACGTATTCTCACTGTCAGTGGTGTTGTTGATGCGGTCGCAAAGGCATATTGTCGGTGTCCGGCTAATCCCACCGGTGGACTCGCTTGTTGCGGCACCTGGCTTACTAGGATTCCTCGTTGAAGAGCAATAATTGCAATGCTCTATTCCCAGCACGACACAATTTAACAAGATTACTCGGGCCTTCCGGCCAAGGGGAGTACTCGCTGGCTGTGTCAGTGTAGCGCGCGTGCGGCCCAGGACATCTAAGGGCATCACAGACCTGTTATTGCCTCAAGGACGTTGCCTGGACTGGGCTGCCCCTGGACAGCATGGGCTTTGTCAAGTGGCGGCTTGCTTGCTCCTTAACGTGTCCGACTGGAAATACAACAAGAGCAACCGGACCGAAAGCCTGTCCCCAAGCCATGCTGTTGCGCTGCGCTCGACACGCACAACAACGGAATATCAGGACCCTCCACTCCTCCAACAGCAGCCGCTTCAACCGCCCACATGTCCTGTCGCCGCCGCGTCGCTGTCCACTATCATCAGACCTGGATCTCTTGCATTGGACGGGTCTCCCTTCTTCGCAACACACTTCACGAGCATTGGTAAGTTGCGGTCCAGTTGGTGTAAAGCCCCCTCTCCCCTTTTCTTCACCGTTACCGACATGCCTTCGTAAATAGCTCGACTTGTGAACAGATGCTACCATCGGCTTCAACCCGATGCAGCCCATGAACCGGTTTACCGACCCTAAAAACACGACTGGTTTTGGCATTGGCCAAGTGGTCGTAAGGATAGACCGAACATAGATAGTCCAATATAGATAGGGTAACGGATGTTAGCGAGGTTATGAGAAAAATGGATGGGTGGTACCACTTTGTGCGTCTCTTGTTTGTCTCTTTGCTGCTTGTATAATGTGCTTGTGTCCTCAGAGGCGAGTTTGGCTACAAACATGGAAGGAGGCGAGTGAGGCGAGGAAGGCGAAGGAGCTCATTGACGAAAAATGGGAGGAGACGCAGCGGATGTTGGGTAGGGGAAGCCTGTATATAGTAGAGTGGTCGTAGAGTGGTCGTAAGAATAAACCGAACATGGACAATCCATTACTGCTCGCTTTTTTGGGATGTGAAAGTTGCGCAAAACACTCAAGGTGCTTGATTGGGTTGACCTTGAACTTGTGCGTGATTCGAGCTAGTAGAACACATCGACGAGCTACTGTCTCTCGAAGGGAGTATTTTGAAGGCCAGACGGGAAAAGGCGACATCGAAAGGGGTTTGATTCAGGAAAGGAGTTGCTAATGGAAGGTTGAAGAAGAGAACCGGAAACCAGGGTAGCTAAATAAAGTATCTGGGAGGGAGAGTCGGTGACTGGGCAGCCCAGGGCAGGAAGCTCCAGTATGGGACTCAAGGTAAGGCTGGAGATTGGGAAGGGACAACAAAATATTGTAGTGTTAAAGAGTTGGTGAATTGATGCCGGTGATGATGACGAGATGATAATGATGATGCTGATGAAGATGCAGTGATCTTTGCAAGACTTGAAGAAGAGAGTGGAGGCCATGCAGGTATGTCCCTTGATTGGTCTGCTTGTATGAAGCAGGTACACTCATGCAAGTAGCACCTTTTCTTCCACGACAACTCCTCTCAGTGCTTCCCCACAGGTAACGGAGATCAGCAGTTTGCCACCTTTCCAATTCTCATCTGTCCCCAGTAGTGACAGTTCTTTAAAGCCCTTCTTCGGGATGTCCCGCTTGATCCAAAACACAGAATGAGCTCAAAGTTGGAAATAGAAGATGAGGCAAGAGGAATGGTGGGAAGTGGTGATGGCGATTGCGGGGAAGACCAGAAGAGGAACAAGAGGCAATGAGGGAAGATGAGGTGCCATCCCCATCGGATCATGCCCAATTTTATTGGATTCAGTGGACTCGCAGCATCGTTCCATCCTTCCTTCGTCCCTTCCATCCATCCCTTCTATTCTGGCCCTCCCTCTACAAGGACTAGCAAGTACAGCAACTGCCTTGCCCACATTCACTCCACCTGCCAACTTCAAATTGTGGTACATAAGGTACCTTTCTTCTGCTCCTTAGCAACCAAAAAAGCACGGTTGGCGCAGTGGTCTAACGCATCACTCGACATGTGGGTTGAAATCCCCAGCGAACCATCTTGTCAAAGACCGCGATTTCTGGGGGGCCACAAGCAAATGCTCAAGCATTTAAGTGTAGAGTCTGAAACAGAGTGAGGACCCGGGTTCGAATCCCGGACCGTGCGATTCTTTTTTCCTTTTCCTTGTCTTTTTTTCTTTTTGAATTTTCCTTTCTTTTTGTAGATTACATCTATCGTCTTTAGATCTGATTAACGATGCCGCTGGACGATGGATGTACAACTCCCTCCGTGCCGCTCCCCAGTCCAGACAGATAATCCGAAGCTCAGCTTAGCTCACTCCTCCCCCTCCCAAAACACCGCATCCCAACTCTCATCCTTTCTCCCCACTCCACCATCTCCCCCTTTGACACAAGGTAAACAAGCCATACCCACATCTCCCACCAGACAAGGCGCGTTAAGCTGGCGATAACGCAGGTAGGAACCCCAACATGCTCGGCCCATGCGCAGAGATGGGTCGGAGTAGTGGTAAGGGTGGATGTGGAGGCACCAGAACGTTCCGAGACCCGTTGCTGCCGTTGCTGCCGTTGTATTTGTTGCTGTTGTTGCTGTATCGTTGATTTTTTGGAGTTGGTTGGGAATCGGGAATGATGGTTTCCAGACGCATTGTCCCTGACACCCCGTAGCAAGCCCAGTCGACTCGCACATTGGATCTTCTCCTAGTCCCATGTTGTCTGCTTTGGGCTTTGCAACTTCTTCTTGCACTGTATTTCTTGATGATGCCCTCGTGAACGTCGGCTCAGGAATAGGAGCACTAGGGGCAGGCAAAGAACACCCACAACACCCAACCGCCGCCCCCGTAGCCAGAAAGATATCCGTCGGCGCCGCAGCAGGAACAGGGTGAACAACCCATGTATTCTCCATCGTCACCACGAAGCTCGTTATAGTCGTTTCTTCTTCGCTTCCTCCTCTTTCAAGTTCCTCCTCTTCCCCTCCAGCTACCCGCATATTTGTAACATCCAAATACCGCCTCCTCTCAACCCACGTAGCGCTCGAAACCACCGTTTCCAGAACCGTCGTTGCCACTGAGTCCATCTCCATGTCCATATCCACGTCCATATCAGATGCAAAAAAGGCCGGCCAAGGCTCATAAGTGGTCACCGTCATCGTGGTGATAAGAGACAAGATGTGTGGAGAGATGTGTAACACGGGCGAGGAGGTGGTTAGAGTTGTTGAGGAGATTTTGGTTACTGTATAGGTCGATGCCGTCGTGGTGGGTGTTGGAGAGGGTATTTGTGTTGGTGCGGCGGCGGCGGGAATGGTGGGGATGGCATTTGTGGCTGTGGCGAGGAGGAATGGTATTGCTGATAGAATGTTCATGATAGAGAAACGCTTGCGGATGTGGTGATGCTCATGTTTCTGAGGCATCGTGATGCTTGTTTCTGGTCTTGAACGGATGGTGTTGGTCAACAGGGATGATGTTGGGTGGATCGAGAAGGTCTGTAGGAAGAATGGAAGCGAGTTTGAGTTTCAGTACCAAAAAGGGCGGCTCTAACAGACCGTTTAAGAAGACGGGACGTCAACGAACAATGTGTGGAGAGTATCATTCCATATTCCTGGAAATGGTCAGTTTGGTTCACCCGTTGTGTCACCCATCATAGTGCATTTAACCGGAAAGCAATTTACAAAGTTGACATCCATCTTGACTGGAGGTGTGAGGTTAATCAGTTCGACGATACTTGCACATGTCCAGAACTCTCACATTGTTCAAAGTAGCACTCGTTCGCGAGCAAGGAAGAACATATTGTTGATCCAACGAGAGAAGACCATCTTTTATTTCATTTCCAGTCGCCATATTGTGACGTGACGTATCTCCAGTCAGCGAGTGTTTGCCCAGCTTATTGTGCCGATATCCATATCCAAGCCCATGTCCATGCCTATCCTCCAATGCTTCCATTTCCTTCCCAAATGCCCCCAAGAACCCCTTTCCATTATGCAGCGAGTGTAAATATCCAAGAAGTGAAAACCCCCTGTGGCGGCGCCTGCCACTCATCCATGGCCAAATGTTTCAAAAAGTCAAATCCTAACGAGAGAACGCCATTCCATATGTCTCTTGACCCCCTTTTCCCCTATGCTCTTAGTCCCCATCCTCTTTCCCCAAAAGCCCCTATGATCCGATGCCCCCTTGCCTTCAACCAAATCAAACTCCTAACCGTCTTCTCTTGTCTCCTGTAACCCGCGTCCCCTTGAAGTTTTGTGCTTCGCCCTGTATCCATCTCCCTCGGTCTTCCGAGGAGGCTATTCTGTTTCTGTGCTTCCATCCGTTTAGATGTTATATATGTGTATGCGATATCCTGATCCAACCAAGGTTTCGCCATCGCCCTTGCATTTCTGTTAGTGAGTCCCTTACAACACCTTTCCATGCCATCGTTCTGAAGTACAGTTCGCCATGTGCGAGGAATCCGATACGAGAATCCAAGAATGCCCTACTCACCCCACGCCCCAGCGATTGACAGAAAGGAAATACATGACCCTATAGCCCAGGTTCCGTAACACCAGCCTACAAGATGGGTGACGAAAGGATAATGAGAAAAGCAAACAAGGAGAAAAGAAGATAAAACTGAATCCGACGTAAAGAAAAAGAGCCAACGGTTGCGTTAAGCGGGAATAAAATCCAAACCCAACCCCTGGGCGACACGGGGCCAGTCCCATACTGCTGCCCAGTCGCCACTCTCCATGAGCTGCCATACGTGCTCCAAGACTTCCAAGGTGCGGTCGGCGTTTCTAAGGCCAGTGTATCCCTTGACAGTTTTGAGAGCAGCACGCACCCTATCCTGATGAGTCGGCGTGAAGCATGCCGTACCAATGATGAAGCATGGGAGGAGGAGCAGGGTTTGGCATGGATCGCTGGGCTTGAAAGATTCCATGATGCCCAAAGATTCCTCGACGGCCAGCGTAATCCGCGGGTCATGCTGGAGTGGTTTTCGAGAGGGTGGAGGCGACTCGACCCTCAATGACGGGGCGGCGCTGAGGAGGGGAACAGAACCCATGTTATAGTCTGAACCCTCTAACTTGGGCGACGAGGTGCAACTTGTTGATGTCGACATGGGCGGCGTGGTAACCCCAGGTACAACAGCCCGATTGTGGCAGGAACTGGACAGCGTTGAAAACGGGTGGGCAGAGGAGTTAGTAAGAGGCAGAGGGGCCGAGGGGGACGGCGGGTAGACGGTTCTGACAAGGTAGATCCACATCATATGCTTGTAGAGAAGGCCTACTCGGTCACGATTGTCTCCCCGGGGCCAGTTAGGGGTCCAGTCCTTGATAGCGGCATCGATTTCTGCCGCCCGATAAAGGCTGACGTAGTCAACAACTGGATCGATTTGAGTGACAATATTGTGCCGGATGGTGTTTCGTATCGTGGTAATTTGAGGAAGGTACTCCAAGAGTCCATCGGCAACACCAAGGAGCCGGGGAGGGTGGATAGCCGGTGTGTGATTGGCATCATTGGGAACCGCTCGATGGTGAAGAGTTGAAACGGAATGAATAAGCTCATCAGCAAAGATGTGGTACTGGAAGAACTCGGCAATGAACGAGAAGAAAGCCGAGTCTTGCGGCGGCGAGCTCGAAATAAGGCTCCTGTATGCCGAGAGATGGAGCCGGTGCTCACCGCGTGGATTGCCCTCAGCCAATGCCTCGAGGAGGAAGCAAAGCATCTGGCCATAACGGGCAGACACGCGAAGCTTGTCTTGGGGGTTCATGCCGTCGCTAACCTCCACGTCCTCGTAAAACTTTTGCCTGGCTTGATCGTGGTGGTAGAGCGACCTTTCGTGGAGCTTGCGAGTAGAGGTCGATGGGTTATTCTTGAGGACGTTGAGACCGTAGGGTGTATCATAGTCGATATGTTTGCTGGACAACGAAAGGATGGAGTGCATGAGACCTTGATGCTTGACCGCAATCGGCACCATCATGTCCTTGAAGGCGTTCTTGTGTTCTCCCTCAACGGTCAACACCGTGCTGAGATGCTCGTTATAATGCTTCCAGAAAATCCTATCCTCGACCGTCTCGAGCCCGTGGAACAGTGGCTGCATTGTGATGGACGGCAAACTGTGGGTCTTGAGGCGTTCTGCATGCATGGGCATGTTAGACTGTCCTACCGCGAGCGTATTCACAGGGCTGCTGAGCTTACCCTCCTCGGCCCTCTCTCTACCACTCTTCCAGATTTGTTTCTCGGGATAACCCTCACACACAACGGCGTTCTTTTCGCAGTTCATGCCTATACGGTATTAGAAGGGAACATGACTTGGTTGCATTCGAACGTCCACTTACACCGCGGCTTTGCCTCGTCACACTTCTTCTTGCGCTTCCGACAAGTGAGGCAGCCTGTCTTGGATCGACCTTTCGTGACCTTGTTTGCAGGGACAACCGGCGCAATTGGGTGCTTGCGAGGCCGACCACGGGGTCGCTTCGCCTTTGGTTGATCTGGCATCGAACCGTCGCTGTTTGTAAGTGTGTTTGTGGGAGCTTCCTTGATATGGTCCATGCAGAAGTCGTCTTCGTCCAATGGCTCTAGTTTCGGCAATGGCAACATGTTGTCGTCTGAGTCCGGGTCCCATGACAGCTCATGGTGGTGGCCGTGGCCGGTACTGCCATGGTGACTGTCGAGTCCCATCTCCCAGTGCCCAATAGAAGATAGAGACACCGTCGACTGGGTCAGTTCAGGCGAAGCCGAAGCCGAAGCGGAAGAGGAAGAGCAACAAGAATTGCCTGACTGGTCAGCCCCATGATAGGGCGCATCCATGCCATTGCTGATGGGTGAAAGCTGGCCAGTCTGAGCGAAGCTCATGGCCGAAGACATGGAAGCAGAAGTTGAGGTTGACGAAAGCGAGGTGAACCAAGACGATGAGTGAGGAAGACACTGGATATCATCCGAATCCATGCTGTGGCTATCCGACCAGGCAAGATCTCCGTCATCCGACGCGGCAGGAAGTGAAGAGTCCATAACTCGTCACTAACGAGACCATACCAAAGGGGTGAAAACAAGGGTAGGAGGTACTTGGAGGGAGGGAGGCGCCCCCAATGCTTTAAACAGTTGCTGGAGACGATTGGGGTGAAAAAATGCTAGCCGAAGAGCGGGCAACCGCCAAGAAAGGCCGAGATGAGGTGTGGAAGGGGCCCTGGGGTTGAAGTGACAAAGTAGAGACTTTTGGCACTAGTCAGCCTGGCCTTGAAGCAACATGGTCGATCAGTACACTGTCTAGCAATATTTGATGAAATGGAGGGGGTCATGCATACAAAGCTCGGCCTATCTCTATACAGCCAGATATTGAGAAAAGCGGAGAAAAGATGAACAGCTCGAAGGCCTTTGAAGCCTTCAAGGAGAGCAAATGGGGAGACACCTCGGACCGGCGAGAAACAGTTAGTGGTGTAGATCAACGGCAGCGGGCCGATCTTGACCTGTCTTTCATACGTGTTGGTCGTTTTGGAAAAGAAAAGAGTCAGAGAGGAAGGGATCAAGACGAGGCTAGATGACGGTGAGGAGAGCGAGTAAGAGGGAGGGAATCCGTCTTGATCTACCGACAAGGGTGTTGAAGATGTGGGTGACTGGTGATGAGAGGCACTGGGGAAATGAAGAACAACAGGGGGGAGGCAAAAGAAATGGTGGAGAGAAGGGTGACCTTATTTGCTTCCGATTCGACTTGTCTTGGTGTGCTGCAATGTACGGATCGGGTGGGTGTGGACAGATGGGGGGATGTTTATCACCACCTTTTCCTCTCTGGATCCAGCCGAAGAGACCCCCCCAAGGTTTTTGTTGGTTGCCGATGCGCGGCCCTGCAACTCAGTCTGCCATTTGTGCAACCTCGCCATCGTCCTAATCTCTGGGGAAGTCGCGAGCACGGGTTGAAGCGTTGCACTCGGCTTCTCCACAAGCTGGTTGTCTCTCGATGTAGTGTACACAAACGCGTGTTTGAGGCTATCTCTATGACGGTCATCGAATCCATACCTCCACTTGAGGTTGACGTCCGAACCTGAAGCAATCTCAGCCTCACATTCCAAGCCAAGCAAAGGGCCCATACTGTAGGCGCATATCCGAGAAGGTACCTCCAGGCAGGCAGAATAGAAAAAAAGAGAGATAGCCATGTGAGCCATGCCTACCTGCCGCACCTCTTCACTAGTCAACTCTCTAGTGCCATCTTGATCTTGGATAACTTCCATGCTTTCGTCTAGTGTGGTGTTTTAGATGGCTTGACTTGGTAACGTAGTATGAGTGGAGGAGGACGCAGAAATGGGACGATTGATTGACGCTGCGTCGATGCCAAGAAAGAGAGGCAGAGAGATCGGAATGTTGGGTGGTGGTCGTGAAAGGTAGAGGTGGTGGTGTAGTGGGGAGGAAGGATTGGGAGAACGGGACAGGGGGGGCCGGAGGCTGGAGAACAGGGACTGGGAGCGACGAGGAAATGGATGGCCAAGAAGGCCAGCATGGTAAAAAAAAAAAATCGAATTGGACCGAGTGTCCTTGTCGATAACTGGCAGGGCAGGTCTAGCTAGAGACGGGAGCTCTTTCCACTGGCTGGTGTATCACGGGTTTTCCTCTTCAGGAAACTCCAGCCAAGTAGGTAGCTCAAGGCAGGTAGGAGTGCTTGGAGTCCAGTATGTATCGTGCCTGCCTCTCTAGTGCTAACTGCTGTCGCCCTCGCAGGCTCCAGTCGCAGTGCAGAGTGGGACTGAGTGCGAGAGCGGGAAACAACGGGGAAGAACGGCAGCCGCGATGGCCTTGTCGATGGATTCGTCGGTTGCTGACCGCACGACGGGAAGTGATGCGAAAGGACAAGGAAGGAACCTCTCACGCGTGCCAAAGTGCTGCCACTTCCACATTTGCGATATGAGAACGTGCATGAATTTGTCGAGGTACCTATCCCGCGGGCGCTAGCAAAGGTAAGTACGTACCTCACTAACACACTTTGGGGTTCGTCGCTGCAGAATCGCCGACAGCACCTCGCAGTCCTTTGTGCCGATTTCCATTTGAACTTCCTTGGCCCAAGTCTTTTTTTGGCGGGGGTTGTCTCTGAACATACCTCTCAACAAGCTCCAGCTGAGACACGACGCAGTTTCTTTGGGTCCATGTAACCGTGACCTCTCGCTACACCGGAGCTGTCCATGAAGCCGAGAGATGGAGCGCTGCAGAGGGGAGGACGGCTGAGGTTGTTTGCGGAGGGAAATCTCTTCAATCGACTTTGTCGGATATGCAAGATACGTGCAAGGTGCAAGTGCCCGATGCGACTCTTTCCTACATGTCAACTCTCGCTGTTTACCAATCGTTGTGGATGATAAACATCATGAAAAGCCTCACGGTCTGTCCATTTGCAGCGGTTTAACAGTACATACAAATCGAAGTCAAGCTCCACCTGCTACTTGGGTACATGCCCCGCTATAAAAGGGCACTGCAAAGCACGAGCCAAACAGCAATGCAACCGTGGGGCAGCACGAACGCGTGTTATGATTGGCTTAAACACGACAGGGACCCTTTTGCTCTTCGACAACTCCTCTCCTCCACAGCGTCTCCAAACCACCCGATCATGGGTTTCCGACAGCGAACCAACAACACAGAAAGCGCCGAGCCGTAATGTGTTCATCGTCAACTCTGTTGAACGGTTTTTGACTTGAGATGAAGGGTGCTTGGCAATAAGATCAACGCCCAAGGCACCGCCGAGCTCCACTCTGTTTCCGAGCCGAGTCCTTCAGAATTACTTCCGATTACTTGTAGGGTCTGGTGATGGGGAATAATGGTCAGTGGAGAAAGGATGGACAAAGATGGGCGTGTCAATGGCAGCCATGCGGCCCCATCATTCGCCAACTCTATCCGTATCTGGCCTTGTTCCGTCATTATGGGGGTCAGGAAGACAAAAAGATGACGAGAGCGCACCAGACAAGGTCGAGTCAGCAATGGAGATGGGGTCATTTTTAGCTCCCGAAAGATCTCGCAAGCAAGGACGGACCCGATATAGTACGGCTGTGGGCTATCTAAAAAGCCTCTTCGCGCTCGCAGCCATGCGCCGCCGGCGTCCAAGGGGCCGCCAAGCTTATAGGACACTCTGAACAGCCTCCTCTCTGGAGGGCAGTTGGTAAGCTCAGCCGGAACTACTGTTGGTTCTCAATATGTCTCAATATGTGATGGGTTAATACGAGATATGGATGCTGACCTTGTGAGTTCCTTCCCCTTTCAACCGTCAAAGACCATATTTTATCATATCGGTCATTACTTCGGTTCACAAGACTCCTCCAGAAGATCTCCAGAGAAAAAGTCGGGAAAAACTTTGACAAGGAATAGGATAGCACCACACTAGCGTCAGCGGACCCAACACTACAGTCGGAAGACAGCAAAGAGCCAAGTCGAACCGCTCTAATTGGCATTACACAATATCTGCACGAGGATTCCATGTGCCATGATATCATGGCAGCTTGATATCCCACGCACCACTTTTTTTTAGCCTAGGGCCCTTTATGCATACTTGAAGGTCTGAAGCACCTCTCTGGGCAGTAGGAATTGGCGCCGTTTCGACACTGCAACAACGACAGACGAGGCCGGGAATACATCCGGACTGTCCTGTCCTGCCCGATGCCTACGGGACCGGGACGAGTTCGGACTCATCCCCATCTCCCCGGGTCCCCCAAAATCACTAGAGTTCGGTCTAATGTACGCAGTATAACGTGATCATCTTGGACCCATCTTGCTGAAACACAGGCTTTGACAATCCCCAATCCACCGTGGGGACTCACTAGCTTTGAGAGAGATGGAGTAAGCCGAACATATCGTGTGAACCCTTACCTTATTCGTCTTGGCAATCAGATACTTACCTAGCATTCAAAAACACGTGCTGATTCTTTCTCAGATATTCCAACATGGTGGTGAGTCGCGGCGCGCCTTGGGCAAGGGACAAATCTGTCAGACACCGGCTGTCCGAATTTTCAGCCCTTGACACCCGCGACATCCTCGACCTTGCTGCCGGTGACTGCATGTTCATATGTTGTGTCACCACCCTTTTAGGGTTGTTGCACATAGACAAGACACGGACCGCAGCCAGACTCACGGGAAGACATGAACACTGCAGTGTCTCGAGTCAGGTAGATATGTATGCCACATGTAGGTATAGGTAGAGGAAGAACAAGTCCATCCTCTATTCTTGCGCAGTGGCTGTTGGGCACTTACACATTGTGGGGTGAATCCTTTGTTGGTTTCATGTCTCATCATGTCTCTCTTCGAGGCGGCTGTCATTGACCCCATTGCAACCCGATCAAAAGTCTCGGCATCAGTGCGAATCATCACACTCATCAGTCCCAACGAAGCCGTTAGCCGGACGTTATATCCATCATTTGCGGCCAAAAGAGAAAGAGGAAGAAAAAAATATGGCATGCGACACAATGCCCAGATTTTAGGGTCCAATCTTCGAAGATGATAATTGCACTCATACAAATGGGCGCTAGCGTCAGCAGCAAGAGCTACCCCTCACTGCTTTATGTTTTTGGGTATTCCTGAAACTCAACAACACCATCTTCTTGGCAGACACCCAAGACTATCTCGTGAAGTACCAAGTACCTGTCATTGGCACCTTCGTGCACCGCAATCTACCCTAGAAAGGTACGGCTGATCAAGTTCCTTCTACCTGCAGTAGCATCTCGACGTGGGGCCGACGATGTGCGCCCAACTCTGGCAGGTGCGATCCTCCATCCTCTTGACATTTTCCCACCACATTACCGGCTGTGTCTGATCCGGTTGCGTCATTCTCAACCTATTGAAAAATTTCCCGCTGGTCAGTGATGGGAAATGCCAATGGTGCCAAGAGGGTGAAGAGGAAGGAG